AAGTCTTTATGGCACTTGTGACATGACAGAGGTGACACATGACTGGAATATGAAAACTATGCTGGGAGCAGGACTCACAAATCGTGTGAAACATGTCACTCTTTATTTGTATAGTATTAGTTTGTGTTCCACGACAGTTTTATACTTCACACATTAAGTGCGTGTAAAATGAGTGAATCAGACGAGGGGCTGGAGTCAGCGTTCAGACCTGAACCTTCCAGTCAACGCTGAGGGCAGCACTGCTCTGGGAGTATCACAAACATGGCGGAAAGCGAACTGAACGTTGACAGCCTCATCTCTCGGTTACTGGAGGGTAGGTTGCAGTTGGGATGTTTCTGTCTTTCTGTGTGTTTTACCAGCAACGTTTAGTTGTAGGCTCCTGTTTGTAACCAGGGAGTTTATGCTAATTTAGCAATCGTTGTACCAGTGCATCCTCTGCTCTCTGTGTTGTTCATCACCACGCTGTAAGCTAACCGTAGCGTTAAAAGCTCAGTGTAATGTAACCGTCAGTGATGCTACAGTGACTAGCAGCTACCTACTCGCTAACGTGCTGTTTCTGCTTAACGTTAGTCCTGTACTGTGTGTATATTGGCAGGAGTGGAGAAGAAAACGCATGCTGCTGTCAGACAGTTAGAGCTAGCTACGTTAACTAGTCGTTTAACTTAGCGTTTTAACCGCTGACCTATCCGAGGAACACAAGCACATTAGTGTTCTCTCTTTGGGTAAAGTGATTGAAGTGGAACAGGAAGAACCATGGAACGTTGCGGTTGCTTAGTAACACTAACTATTGCCAAAGCAGGTGGCTAACAAGTGGGCTACCTCACGGACACGCCCCCAACCTGTTTCAAATTCATCCACGTACATCCGGGGTATTTTGTACACCGTTCACTTTTCACCTGTGGAGGAAGGTAACTCAGTGAAGTAGGGCTGGCCGTCAGTACAGTTCTTTGGTATTTGTACTAAAATATCTCAAATGTAGTACCTGAGCACCACATTTCATACCCTGTACTTTCTATTCCACAACATTTATGAGCATAAGAAGCTATTCATTGTTGCAAAAAAATATCAATTGCTGCATTCATTTGTATTTCTATAGGTAAGATACCCAGCAGTATCAAGTAGTGCTGTGCCATCAAGTGATTTGCTCATTTTCTATAATAATAATAATAATAATAATAATAAGCCAAGTTATTATCCAATAATGTAGTATACATATTATTTTTCTGAAATAAGCCATCTTACATTCTCTATCCGTCCATTCAATTTCTGTAGCCACATTATCTGAAGTCTGTCCCAGCTGACTCTGGGTCAAAGGCATGGTGCACGCTGACCCTGGACAGGTCACCAGTCCATCACAGGGGCTAATACAACCATGCACACCCGCACTCACACCTACGTCCAATGACTTACCATGCATGTCTTTGTACACAGAGAAAACACATGCAGGCACAGGGAGAACATGCAGACCCCACATAGAAAGACCTCAGCAGGTTTAAACCCAAAACTTTCTTGCTGTGACACGATAATCAGATTTTGTTGCTACTAGTTGGTGTTTTTACCCAAATAAAACTTTGAAAGCAGGATTTTCACACTTCTTACTCTGTGGTATTAATACTTCTATTTAACTAAACAGATAGGCTCCTGAAACCACGGTCTGTCTTTTGGCTGTTGTCACTCCTAAACATTGGAGGCAGTTTGAAGAATGGTATATAGAAAACGTACAACCAACAGCCAGTTAATAGTATTTAATTCTGTTTATTGTTGTTCACATTAGTTACACTTGATATAACTATATTAATAAAATTGATCTCAGTTATGGCTAGCATTAACGCATTACTCAGCATTTCTTTACACATGTATTTGCCCTCTAAACTTTTTGTCCTTACTGCACCACTCACTCACTCACTCACTCACTCACTCACTCACTCACTCACTCATGTAGTGAATCAGTGGTGAAATACACAAGTATGCAATTTTAAAAAAATGTTTTTCCTTAAAGTGCGGGGATGTCGCCCAGGGAAGATCGTGCAGATGACGGAGGCTGAGGTGCGAGGGCTCTGCATCAAGTCCAGAGAGATTTTCCTCAGTCAGCCGATTCTGCTGGAACTGGAAGCTCCTCTCAAAATCTGTGGTGAGAACCAACACCTGCCCCCAGAGCAACATTACCATCCTAGCTTGTGTCTCTAAGTGTACATGTGTCTGTGGCTTTTGCTTTCACCTTTAAAAACACACACTTAAAATACACAATAAGTGTAGGATAAAGCTTTATCACCAAATACATTAAGGATGTATTGTTGCATTTCTGTACAAAGGAGACACAGCATTTAATTCATCTCGATTAATCCTTTTTGTTTTTGTTAATATTATGCTTATGAAAGGTACGATTTAATTCCAGGTGATATCCATGGACAGTACACAGACCTACTGAGGCTATTTGAGTATGGGGGCTTTCCTCCAGAGGCCAACTATCTGTTCCTGGGGGATTACGTGGACAGAGGGAAACAGTCGCTGGAGACCATCTGTCTGCTGCTTGCCTACAAGATCAAATACCCAGAAAACTTCTTCCTGCTCAGGGGGAACCACGAGTGTGCCTCCATCAATCGTATTTACGGCTTCTATGATGAGTGTAAGTTGGAAGACATCATTGTTTGTTGTGTAGTGGCTACATCTACATCTGTTGAGTTTAAATTCTGTGAACTAAGGTTTCCAAACTTTGGATGGTCACAGATTCTTAAAAATGAGAATTTGCTACATCCAGCATCTGCCTGTTACTCGAACAAAACAAGCACTTTGAGGGGTTCACATCAGGGTCTTCAAACTTGGAATGGGTGTTTAAACAGTTCATAGACAAGAAAAAATTTATCTAATGAAAGCCATCATTAATCAGATTAATTTCCAGTTAATTTAATGTTTGTTCTTTAGTCCTTCCTGGAAATATGAAAACTTTCCCCTAAGTTATAAAAGACAAAATATTGCGATATCTTGCCTGTTTTTACACCCTAAAATGAAAAAAACAAAAAACAAAACAGAACATTTCAGATTAGGATAAATGGCAGTGATTTTCACATAGGGCATGAAATATTACATTTTAATTTACAAGCAAATTTTGTTCTATATTTTAACCTTTTATTTCTTCTTCTTCTTTTTACTTTTTCCTCAGGCAAGCGCAGGTTTAACATAAAGCTCTGGAAGACATTCACAGACTGTTTTAATTGTCTTCCCATTGCTGCAATTATTGATGAGAAGATCTTCTGCTGCCATGGAGGTTTGTAAGGCATCTGTTACATAGCAGGAGTATTTCCAAATATCAACAACTGCCTTTGTGCATTCAAAGTGTATATCGGTTAATCAGAACTTTGTATTTTAATAATTTGAGGGAAATGTTAGAAGTTGCTGTGGTGTCTCACCCTTCTAATGCAGTTCTCTCTTCCTTCAGGACTGTCACCTGATCTGCAGTCCATGGAACAAATCCGACGCATTATGAGACCTACTGATGTACCGGACACAGGTCTGTTATTCTGTGTTTGTGTTATTTAACTAAAAGGAGAGAGAATCTTGATCAGCTGATCATTCCTTACCGACTTATAATTAGTGCTAATGGTAAACCGCAACATGCTAATGCTAATTATTGGAGAAAACCATACTTAATAAAAAAAAAAAATAAATAAATCAGTTAATGATTTCATGTTAGAAGTTTTAGGAGTATAGAAATTATTGTTGAACTTTGAAATTAGTTTCACAGTTGGCTTTATTAGTGTTGCTGGAACACGTATGGCGGGACTGTTTCTGACCCAGTATTTCTCTGCTTCAGGTTTGCTGTGCGACTTGCTGTGGTCAGACCCAGACAAAGACGTCCAGGGGTGGGGGGAAAATGATCGGGGAGTTTCCTTCACTTTCGGGGCTGATGTGGTCAGCAAGTTCCTTAACCGCCACGACCTGGATCTCATCTGTCGAGCACATCAGGTAACCTCGGGCTACTTCGTGATTTAAAGCTCCATTTAAAACGATTCCATTGTGAATTAAACTGCTGTTTGTCAATGCAAATGAATTGGACCACTTTATTTGAAAATTACAGCAAATATAGAAACAAACAAAAATATTATAAACAATGATTATGTTGTTTTGTTAAATTGATTTCACCTGAAAAAAGGAACATAGCAGATTATCAGATTTATACATTTCAAAGTTTTTTGTTCACAACTTCATCTATTACAGTATTAAAGTCAAAGGCACCTCTGCAAATGTAAAAATGTGTTCAGTCTGCTGTTACTCAAAAAACAACAACAACAAAAAAAAAACTGGCATTTTGTTCCAAAGTGACTTAGTTGATTAATTTAATGCAAAGTACCAAAAATGTTTCTGTCAGCTGGCTAATCATTGCAGCTCTAATCCTGCTACCCTACAGGTTGTTGAAGACGGCTATGAGTTCTTTGCAAAGCGACAGCTGGTGACACTGTTTTCTGCCCCAAACTACTGCGGGGAGTTTGACAATGCTGGCGGCATGATGAGTGTGGACGAGTCCCTTATGTGCTCCTTTCAGGTACTTCTTTTACTGGCACATTAAAATCAGCATCATGTGCTGCAGATTTCACAACATGACCATCTTTTGTTTCAGATCCTGAAGCCGTCAGAGAAAAAAGCCAAGTACCAGTATGGAGGGGTGAATTCAGGCCGCCCTGTCACCCCTCCTCGTACCACTCAGGCACCTAAAAAGAGGTGAGCGGCTGGCCTGACTCTCCTGCTCCTCCCTTGGCTGGTCCCTGGAACCACATCCCTGCAGGCTGCCTCAAACACTCCAGCCTTTTCTCAGCCAGCTTGTTCATGTGTATATAGGAACTCCCGGAGTGTTTTTTGCTTGTTCTGTGGGTATTTTTATGAACATGTGAATGGTTTTTCCATTTTTTTTGATGCCATGGTATGTATTTACTCAGCCCTCAAGTCTACTACTCAGCCCATTCAGGAATATTAACACCAACCTCTTGTGGAATGGGGACGATGCTTCTTTATCTGCCTTCAGATTAACCATTTCTATTGTGAATTTGTGAATGCATGCACGCTTGTGTGATTGGGATGAGTTCTAGTCCGAGCCAATGTAAAGTCCAGATTGTCCCAGCATAAGGGACCAAATATTTCCAGTTTCACTTTGATTCCTACCTTTGCATTGCCTGAAGCATTAGACTGCTTAAAGAAATAGTTTGCCACTTTGGGAAATAGACTTATTTGTATTCTTGGAAAGTATTGGATAAGACTGATACCACTCTGGCCTGTCATATATGAGACCCCTGCCAGTAACTGGCAGACTGAGCTTAGCACAAGGCCTGGAAAAGAAGGGAAACAGCCAGCCTGGTTCTGTCCAAAGGTAACATAATCCACCTAGCAGCCCTGAAACATTTTGCATCCTGTGTGATTCACTTATAAAAAAAAGTCCAAAGCTGCAGATCATTTTTGGTAAGGACCTATTTCCCAGCAACCAGCAGAGACTGTAGAAAGTTACTGGTCCCAACCAAGAACTAGTCAGGCACAGCACCTGTAGTGAGCAGAGTTTGTTGTATTACTTTGTTTTTTGTACAACTGAAACTTGTTAATTAGTGAGCTTTAGAAATGCTGGTAGATGGATTTTGTTATCATCTGAGCAGAGCTGTGCTAGCCACCTAGATTCTAGTCTTTATGCTAAGCTGTGTCAGCTGACTGGAGCTAAATATTAAACAGACAGACATGAAGCGTCAATCTTCTCATTTAACTCTGGGCAAGAAAACAACTAACCACATTTCCAAAAAATCTAACATTTTTACTTTAAGAATCAACTGGTTGACGTGACCGCATATACGTTCCCCTCTAACAATGTTTTTCTTGTTATGGAGATATCAATAAAACAATAAGATTTGAAAGATATAAGTGCAATAAGTATTGCTAGAAATCTCGCTATGCATATATGCAACCATAAATATTTGCAATGGTAATTAAAGCCAGTCTGAACTTTAAACAAGGTCACAGCTAAGCTATGGCATACCTTTATAAGGGCATTCATATACAGTTGATGCTCTTCATTAGATTAGTGTTTCCAGCCTGTTTTCCACAACCAGCACTGAGCTGTGTACCTTTTTTATCCTTCATGTCACTGAATGAGCATTTGTGGTCGATAAAGAGCTGAATTTCCATTGTTGCTATGAAAAAGGGAAACGCCATTGCAAAAGTGCAAATGATTCCCGTTTCACTCTGATGTACATCCAGTGTTTGTGGAAAATGTGGGAACCAAATAGCTCAAAGAGCACTTGAGTTGGTGTCCTTTAGTCTGATAAATACAGTAGATACGTAGGAAAGTAGACAAATATGTCAGTGCAAAGAAGGTACTGTTAGATAGAAAATGACTTGGAAGTACAGGCTTAAGAAATAGTAGTCAGCAAATTCATTTCATAATGTTTACAGCTCAGCCGAGAGTTGTTTGTTCTTCACAGCAGTAGATGTCGACCTCTTCCACACAAACATTATTGCACATCTGTCATCGCATGACATTGTGAAGAGGTCAGAGGTCAAGACGATGGCATTTTGTTTGTTGTCGGCATTAAAGTAGATTCATTACATTTTCCCACCCAGTGGTTATTGAAAAGTATAGTGAATCATTTCCAACTCACTACTGAACATTTAACTGATATAATTTTATTTATTTAAATCTTGCCTTTTGCCTTGTAAATCTATTGGTATTCAAGTTGGAATTGGTATGTAAAGAAGTTCTGAGATTTGTACAAGTTTGTTTCAGAGGAGTGAAATAAATGGAAGTGCCGTTGAGCCTGCTGTCTGTGTTAAATGTGACTCATCACAATATTTAGTTTTAGGCACTGAAATAAAGAGTGTAATCAAAATGTTGTTTTGTAAATAACCATTTATATGTGGCTGAAATGAGATATAAAAATCAAACGTTAAAGGGGTAAAATGATTTCTCTGCAGTGGGGGGACAAGAAGACAGACCTCAATCTGACTTGAGAGCTTGCAGCACTGACTGTGGTACTCTGCAGACGTAGTACTCATGGTTGCGTAGTGTACCAAGAACCCCAGCAGAGTTCATGTGCTTTACTTTAGCATCATAGCGGTATGCATTTCCGTGCATATCAGTCAGTTTACCTGCATGAGAAAAAGATGAGATGATGAAATATTAAGCGGAACGATTCCAAAGGCATTAAAACTGCATGTTGTCAAACATAAAGACCCAAGTTTAACCCACAGATGTGCATCGATAAACACGCAAAATGGTTGAGACATTGTATTTGAAGTCTCCCAGCATACTGGGACAGAACAGATGGTTTTTACCTCCAACAGCATGCAGGATGGCTTCAGGAGCACAAGTGTCCCACTTCTTGCATCCTGGACTGGCAAACACATAAGCAGAAGCCTTTCCCTCCACAAGCTGAATTATCTGCACAGAGATGAGTCAGTAAGCAGGACATCCACATCTGGGCTACTGGTTATTGCTAGAATGTCTCTTTCGTTGTCATCTAATTTAGGTTCAGGCCCTAACAAAATGACATTTCCAAACAGCAACATTTACATCTAAACTTAAAAAAAATGTGTTTTACACCATCTCTCCGTGGCATTCACATGCCGTGGTTACTATAAAACACAAAAAGAACACTGATGAGAACATATCTACTTGCCTCTACTCTATACTTTACTTTGAATGAGTCAAATCTGGTAACTGAACTAATTTATGACACAAGCTTTCAGCAGCTTCAGAGCAGGACCTGAAACCAAGTCAATCCTACACATGACTACATGTACAATCCTGTCCTACATTTTAACAAGCTCTCAGTCAGTCTCACCTTGTTTCCAGCACCACCCACTCTTATAACTTCGTGTGGCTCCATGGCATCTACGCAGTCTGTTACCAGCTTGTTGCTATGGGAACGAGTGGTCGTGACAATTCGTCTATCACCTGGAACTTCCTGCAGCTGGAATCCAAAGGCACCCAATCCTGGCATTCCCCACATGGTTCTTCCTAAGGTTGCTCCTGCTCCCAGCTAGAGAGGATGAAGTCAAAACTGATCAGAGTGACATCTTTTAAAATGCAGCAGCAGATATTTAGTTTAGTTTGTACCTGGTAGTTGTAGAACGGCTGGTTGATGACACCTGCGATTGCTCTGCCTCTGTATGCAATACCAATAAGCACCGTGACATTATCCAAGAGCCCTGAAGTCAGAAAGCAGCAGGATGTTAGCTGCTCATCGCTAAATGATAGAACTGCTCTTTCACTCATAAGCAAATGTTGCTGGTGTGGCCAGTTAAGAAGCAGTACAGTGTTCACATGCACAGAAGATAGAAGAAAAAAAAAACGTCAGATGTTTTAAACTTTTAGATAAATGATTTCTTCCACACTGGTGCAGAACATGTAACATTCTACACTGCCAGAGGTAAAGTTTGCCTTCCCATACAGAGAGCTGTGCTGTGAGGCTGGGAGGTTTCCGACCCTTTGAGTGGTTTCTGGGCTACAGCTCGGAGATGGAGGCACCTCGACGCTGGTGTCAGCAGGAAGAGAGAGAGAGAGAGAGAGAGAGAGAGAGAGAGAGGTGGACAGAAGCAGCAGGGATACACAAGGAAGAGAAGCAAACAATATGAAAGTGATAGGAAGATTCTGAGGTGTGACTACCAGGAAGCAACCCAACAAACCAGAAAACATTTTGCAACAAAATCTTAACAAGAACAAAACAAAATTAACGCAAAGATTAGATCATAGGATATTGGTTGTTAAGATAAGGGCGAGGTAACGAAACAACCAGTCAAAAGTTTGCATAATCTCTTAATATAACAAAATAATGAATAAAATCATGTTATTTATCACATGCGTCTGTTAAACCTTATATCCAGACACTTGAAACACAAGTTTAGCTTCTGTTTGCCAACTGGTGACAGGGAGACAATGTCAACACAACATAACTCTGGCCCTAAATAACCATAAACTCCTACTCGTAGCATCATATAAATGTCATCATTCACTCAAAGATGTTGTTTCAGCTCGTTCTTTATGTCCTTATATCTGGATACTTCATGTTCATCACTGTTTATTGGCTACATTAACTTCCGATCTTAGGAAATTATTATTTGAATAGGATGTAATTTATGATATAACAATGAAGCCTAATAACACTGTACTTTAAATGAGTACAACTAGTGTAATGCTGCTTTAAATTACTGGTCAAAACAATGAATACATAGTTAGAATATTTTACTAAATATTCCACATAATAGTGACAAGTTTTAAAAATAGTAAAGCTCTGTTGTGAGATTGTCCCATAACAGATTTCAATAGATTTTGAACCACCGAATGTTATAACGTTTTGAAAAATACAGAATACTACTGCTGCTGCTGACCTAAACTAAATTTGTATAGGTTGCAAATGGTTTGTCATGAAACAATGTAAAGAGCCCACTTTCTAGAGATATTCTTTCACTACACTCATACTTTTCTCAAGATGAAGAATGCTTAAAACCTTTGGCTGCAGAGACAGTGATGAACAAACACAAACGCTGATTTTAAAGAAGCATATTTGAAGAACCTACCTTCAGTGTACTCCTTTGTGCCATCGAGGGGATCCACCCACACAACTAGCTGAGATTCAAACACATTCAGAATAATAATGTCCACACTGTAGAGGGAAACTGTATCCTAGCAATAAACAATACACTATAATGCAACAATTTTAACAAGTACTCAAAATGTATTCAGGTGTTAAAGAGCAACAAAATAAAATGAACATTAGATCACAGATAATTGGTGGATACTGAAGTTACACATTAAATGTCTGACTCTACCTCCTCTTCTTTCAGCCCGCTGTACTCTGCTGGACAGGTCTTCTGAAGGATTTCTTCTGCCTGGCCATTCTCAATGAGATCTTCCTGTACCTCTTCGTCTGGAAGCTCCTGCATAAGCAGAACAAATTCAGTTCAGTTCAATTTTATTTATACAGTGCCAATTCACAGCATATGTCATCTCATATACTAAGGTGAAGACCTTAAGGAATGTGATCGTTAGTCTTTGTCCTCAATAAAACTTTATACCACATTAATGTTTTTAAGCCCCATTTGGCCAACACAAGCTGTCAAAATAAAGCTAAATGTTTACTTACCTCCTCTCCAATGATGGTAATTTTGGGGAAACGTCTGGAGAGTGAAGCACAAATGCTCTGCTGTGCCAGTCTATCCGCCAGCGTCTGCAGATCATTAACTCCCGTCTGTGCAGGAGCACAATCAGGAAGTCCCAAAGCTTCACATCAATAATTTCTGTATTACGACCGGCCCTAGATCTCCGTTGCAAAATACATTTACACATTTTCAACATGTCCAACTGGCCAAGGCCGTATGTTTTCCCCTGAATGATGAACCATTTTAGTGTAAAAGTAGGATGGTCATACCTTTTCGACAATACCAAGTTCTCCACTGTGAAGGACCTTTCTTACAATGGTGCCAGCCTTTTCAGCTACACTGTAGGCAGAGGCCACCAGTCGCATAACCACTGCAGGACTTCCAGACATTGCTGACTTGTTGATCTAGTGCAGAGGGAGATAAAAATCCTAAAATTGGATGAGCAATATGAAGAGTTACTTTGTTTAGCATGTCTGTGTAGATTCTTAGTCATCCAGGTCATGGTAATCTTAAGAGCTTCAGTAGATGCAAACTGGACACTTTTTCAGTTCTCGAGTGCAGCGTCTGCAAGAACCAAAGAGAGGTTCAGCTGCTTTCTACTGAAGCTCCGACAACTTTGTTCAGTATTTCAATCTTTAACTGCCAGATTTAGAAAGTTAAAGGCCAATTTCAGGGAGAGCCATGGCCAAAATAACAACCAAAAACAGACAAGAAATAAGACCACAATCCTAAATAACCTTCCCACAAACATAAATTGCAATCATAAACCTACCAGCCCTTTACAACTGCAAACGCCCTCAGCTAATATTTATTTAGTTGTGATAGAAGAACTTAAGAAAAGCTAGTGAACAGTTTGAGCAGCAAACCTCTGCAACTGAGACTGATTAGTGAGCATGCTACTGTCGCTAGCTAGCCGAATCAAACAAATTTCTCAATAATATCCAGTAAATATCATGTGAACTGAGGTAATACTTACTGCAGCTAATAAGAGTAGATGCCACACAGCTATCTGAGGTTGAATGTAGCAGATAGAGGAAGTGTGAGACCTTTGACCCCCAAAGAGCCACAGCGTGATAAGATAGTTACCTAACAATCCACAGACAACTCGGCTGTCGCAACTAAGTAGTTAGCTAGAAATACAGCGCTTGCTGCCCGAGGACACGTTCAATAAGCAATAAGATTACACTAACACCAGCTGAAATATAGTATCTATGTGTCAAATCAGAGTGTGTTCCGGTCTTTCACGTCTTTAATGCGACACAATTAAATCTGCCTAAAAGTCGTCTAACCTTCTAAAGGCTTTTAAACCAATGCGGAAGAAAGAGGGCGGAATCATCTTGCTTTGTCTGTAAAACATGTCTCCGTGAAAAACAACCTGCTGGGTCCAAGTGCCCAAGGAGTTACTGCAGATATACTTTTTGACATTGTGTCCAATAAACATTCATCTTAAGCTCATCTCCCAAACTTTTATTGAGAAAGTTTCAGTTTTTGTGTTGAGGCTGAGACTATTACTCACACTGCGACGGCACAATGTGTCATTGATGGGTTTTCCATCTCTCTTGCCAAATAAATTTTTTTTTTCACTTTCACTTGTCATTTGCCTATGCAGGCAACTGCCATGCACAGGTACATAAGAAATTATATACAGTATATGCTTTTTTTTAAACGTAAAATGTTTTTTTTTTTTTTAATTGTTGATAAAGCTCACGAGACAATTGCAATTTAAATGACATAACACTTCCTAAATCATACATCTATCCATCACCTATACACTGCTTAATCCTCACTAGGGATCCTCACTATCCCAGCCGACTTAGGGCGAAGGCAGGGGACACCCTGGACAGGTCGCCAGTCCATCGCAGGGCCACATTTAGAGACAACCAAGCACACTTACATTCACACCTATGGAATCACCAATTAACCTCAACATGTTATTGGACCTTGTGGGAGGAAGCCAGAGAACCCGGAGAGAACCCACGGTGCACGGGGAGAGCACGCAAAGTCCACGCAGAAAGATTCCAGTGCCCCCACCGGCATGCGAACCGGCAACCTTCTTGCTGTGAGGCAACAGTACTAACCAACTGCGCCACCTTGCAGCCCCTAAATCATACATACATACATACATACAAACAAAAACATTTATGAACACATATTTTAATTACCTATTTAAAAAAATATGCATTGTTTCTGTTTATGCACGTTTAAGTGACAGTAATATAAAATCCATGATTTTAGTCAACATAGTCTGGATGGTCAGAATTACTTGGTCATATAATATCAAATGGGGGCTGGTTGCATAGTTAAAATATATCTGTGTGGGATCAACAGCCGTAGAGTGATGCTACTCAAAAACAACTGTCAGAAAAATGTATTTGTCTATGAGTATGTGCATATCCCTCGAATGGGATTCACTTTGGGTTGTATGGGATTAGAGAGGTGAGCAGACTTTAGTCTGCGGTGGCCAATGCAGGCACTCTTTGGGTCTTTCCAACTCTGTGTTGCAAAGCTTTGCAGATTCTGATATAAAGCCTTAGAAGAACAATTCTGCTTCACTCTACAGAACTATTTGTTAAACCTTGAAAATTATGAATCTACAGTTAACATTTTTGTCATATAAATTAAAAGCAGCTTGCCATTCATCCTGTTAGTGTATACAACTTACCATTCTCACATTTCCACCAAATCTAAACTGATCAGTACAGAAAAATGGGTGTATGTACTCAAAATAATAGACAGATCGTAAAATCTATAAACCTATGGACATGTTAATCTATCATACTTTGCACCAAATCATGGTGATGACTAGACCACTATATTTGATGTAGCGTTTCCCTATTCCACCACCTTCTGTTGTCCTCAGTAACTGTGATGCTATTAAAATGCTTAGAGGAAAAAACAGGAATAAAACTGTATGTAAGTAGGCCAATCTTAATTTATTGTGTTAAACAGATGTTTTTTTTAAAAAAGAGAAAAAAGAAATTACAGTAAATTCCTGAGTAAATTAGCATTTGTCAAATGAAGAAAATCTCTGATTATCTAATAAATATGTGCAAATCACAAGCACTTCATCTGTTCGCCAGAGGCCTGTATCCCATCTCTCCCTCCAGCTGCTCTGCGGTAAGAGAGCCCAACAAAGGCTGACAGTCTGGGTTGAAGACCGAATAAGCGCTCAATTCTCCAGGTTGACGGGGCGCAGGGCTGCGGAGTCCTTCATAGAGCCAGTAGAAGAGAGAGATGACGAAGAAGGGCAGGCCAAACTCCAGTTCAACAAACAGACCCAGCAGAACCAGCCACAGCAGTACTTTGAGCAAAGTAAGGTTTGAGAGGACAAGCTGCCTCGAAGCCAGCCACCTTCCTAGAGCGCTGTCCAGCAGCCAGTCTGTGCGGTCCTACAGAGAAGACACCACAGAAAGTCATGATGTGTCAGAAGTTCTTAACCTTGGGATCAGAGTCACCGGGTAAATACACAAAGTTATTAGATGGTTTACAAAACAGGAAAAACTAAGAAAAAACATTTGCTGCAACACCAAATGAATGAGTTGCTACAAATCTATATGCAAACTTCAGGACTTCAAAAACTATTAAAACTGAACAATCTGATAACATCACTCCGACAAAATGCTTGCAGCTATTGGCCACATGCAACCTAAAAGGCATTACATAGTAGTCATTCATTTGCTACATGCAGGGCTCACAAATGCTGGCTGTTGTTGTTTTGACAAAACAAATATGTAGATGTCATTTTCTGACAATTTTTAGACCAAAGAATAATCAAAAGAAAAGTCTGCAGATTAATCAATAATAAAAATAACTGTCCTATAATACTACAAGAAGCATGTGAAGTTATCTTGACATCAACAACGATAACGATCACACAGAAATGCATTTGAAGCATACATCTTCAGTACAAACCCACATTACAAAAAAAGTTGTGATGCTGTTAAATTTAAGTGTTCAGTGTTGGTTTTTGGCCTTCCCCCTTATGTGCAGAGATTTCTTTGGATTCTTTAAATCTTTTGATGATACTATGGATTGTAGATGGTGAAATCCCTAAATTCTTCCCTAAATTAGGGATGGTGAAATCTCTAAATTATTTGCAATTTCGCATTGAGAACCACTGTTCTTAAACTGCTGGACTATTTCCCAAAGCAGCTGTTCACAAATTGGTGAACTTGCCACATCCTTCCTTGTGACTGACTGAACCTTTCAAGATGCTCCTTATATATCCAATCATGACACTATCGCCTGTTTCCAACTAAGCTGAGGAATGTTCCACATGCTTTTTGAGCATTCAACTTTCCCAATCTTTTGTTGCCCCTGTCTTAACTTTTTAAAAAAAGTGTCACTGACATCAAATTCAGAATAAATATACATTCAAAAAAACGAGCAATAGAGTTGATAAGGTAAAACATTACATATATTGTCTTTCCATTTTTTTCAATTGAATATATGACAAAAACTAGATGAGCAAATTAGGACTTTCTGTTTTAAATACAAATTTCACAATGTCTCAGCTTTGTTGGGATTGGGTTTTGTAAGATCTGGTGCCAATCTGCTGCTGTGAATATTGCTGCTTTTGCTTGTGTGGAAAGGTTTTTGGATGACTTCTACTTATCACGGACTAGTTTTTTTTTTCCATGTGACATTCCCACTTCATTGACAAGAGTAAAATCTCAATACTTTCACTGCAAAATAGATGCTAACCAGCAGTTAATTTGCCATTTGGCCCTTTTATCGCTCACAGGAAAATAAATAAGCTATTAAATTTTAATGAGAAAGTTAAAAGGGCTAAATCGAAGTGATCTCTTACGCTGCTTTGAGAGCCTTGAGTTGCAGGTTGGTTGTTTTCTGTCTCCTCTGGCTGTGGACTGTGAGCTGTTGCTGTGGTGTCAGGCTGAACAGCTGTCTGTGCTGCTTCCTGCTCTCTGTTCTGTGGACCAGGACTCTGACTCTTCTCAGCCTGCCGCCTGGCTCTGAACTCAGCCAGCTTCTGCTCCATCGATACTCCGATACTCTCCGTCCACTGACGTTACTGGGTCTATGTGGTAAAACAGCTGCTAGGAAAAGTCATTCACAACTTTTGTCTGTTTCACCTTAAAAATACAAACAACTTGCGATGTAAAAATATGTTTGTCTTTGTCTATAAGTCAAACTTTAACTACATTTTGGAGAGACGTCACCATGCTATTAGCTTGTTTACTTCTTACGTCGGCGTCTATCCGAAAGAAGGAAATCATGTCGCAAATAGCCTCCAACTGTCGCAAAAGGGATCACTTTGCGGCATTTTCACAGGTCTGGTGCTAGCTTGGTTGTTTTCATCAGTGGTGAGTTTCCAAACCTGCGCCCTTTAATGTTCACTGCTTCATGCTTTCATAAAAACGTATTTTAGCTGCTGTTGTCGTCCATAGCCGTGTCATGCCAGATGACATTTTAAGCTATTCATAGAAACTAAACCACGTCCGACAAACGTTAACGGCATCAAGGCGAATATCACAAATATACCACATTTTCTTTGCCTGTTGTTTTATCTTTTAATTGGTTTTAACTATTATATGTTTTAGCTTTTTTGTGCACTCCTCTTACGTTAACTGTTACGGATACAAGATATACGGTTTGCATGGTAGTTTAGCGCCATGTTGCTACCGGAATGTTCCAAAGTGTTAAAAGCAGCTCATGTACTGGTTCTTCCTAAAGGCGGTGACCCAAACCTTAACCGCCCGATCTCCAGCTGTCAGTTCAGCTAAAACGTTAGACAAGCTAATCAATATTCAGACTTTTTATCCGAGCAGTGCATTTGAAACCGTCATCAGTCTGGTGTCAGACTAGGCCAAAGCATCTGACTGCACCTTGTAGGGTAGTAAATGAAAGAATGTGTTCTCTGGGTAGGAGGGAGTGCTGTATGACCCTGTCCATTGATTTGTCTAAAGAATTTGGCACCGTGGATTGTGTCCTTTTTTGATGCATGGAAATACATCTGTTGGTTTTGACACAAATGTATGTAACTGGTATGTGTCACTGCCAGAACACTTAACAAACGTTGCAAGCTGTCATCAGTCTAGTTCTCTTGAAGTCGTGAGGGGGTCAAAGTTAGGTCACACTGTACATACACTGGACAAAAATATAAACTGAGCATGCAAATGGTCTTCTTTTCCCGTTGGTTTTACAGAAATACTAAGAAATGTCACTAAGCCTCGCATTAATTTTAGCTAATTGTGCACAAAAAGTTTTTGAGCTGGGGACATATTCTCAACGATGGAGGTAATTGACAGCCTGTGGCTTTTAAAGGACAAAGACCCACTTTGACCAGGAAGGGAATTTCTGTGTGTTTCTAAGTATCCCAGACTATTTCTCATTGTTTCTAAATGTTCCATAGTGTGTGTTGTTGTTTTTAAGTGTTCCAGAATGTTTTTGTCTTTGTTTTTGAGTGTTGAAGATTCTTTGTCATTGTTTCTAGTGTTCTAGACTATTTCTCTTTGTTTGTAATTATCCCAGACTCTTCCCCATTGTTTCGAGGTGTTCTAGACTTTTCCCTCTTTGTTTCTAAGTATCCCAGACTATTTGTCATTGTTTCTAAATGTTCCATAGTGTTTGTCTTTGTTTTTAAGTGATTAGAAGTTTACGTACACTCTATTAAAGGACATAAAACCTTCCTTTTTTTCCCTCAATATCTGATATGTAATCAGACTAAACTTATCCTCTTTGACATCGGTTAGGATTGCTGAAAAGATTTTTTTGCTAAATGCCAGAATAATAAGGCAGAGATTTTTTTTCTGCTTTATTCAAAGTCAGAAGTTTACATACACAAAGATTGCTGTGCCTTCAAACTATTTGGGAAAGCCCCGATGATGATGATTTCATGGCTTTGGATGCTTCTCATTGGTTAACTGACAACATTTGAGTTAATTGGTGGCACACCTGTGGATGTATTTTAAGACACACCTCAAACACACTGCTTCCTTTTGTGACAACATGGGAAATCTAAAGAAATCAGCCAAGATACCAGGAAGGGAACTTCTGTGTGTTTCTAAGTATCCCAGACTATTTCTCATTGTTTCTAAATGTTCCATAGTGTTTGTTGTTGTTTCTAAGTGTTCCAGAATGTTTTTGTCTTTGTTTTTGAGTCTTGAAAATTCTTTGTCATTGTTTCTAAGTGCTCTAGACTGCTTCAGTGGCTATTGAAGGCCACCTTAAAACGCAGCTTTATGTAAATGACACAATGCCACAGATGACAAGAGAAAGACAAGTCTTGACTGTTGGCATGCTGGATGCTGCTGGCAGGTCAGTATGGGCCGTAGCCATCCAACGCCACTTTTTGACTGAGAAGCCATTTTAGATAGGATGATACAACAGACAATCTCGCTCTGGGTGTCCAACAACATGGTCTGTCCCCCAGAATGTCTGCCAACTTCATCAAGCTCTTTAGGAGGAGTCAGACATCATTCCTTGAGCCAGCATTGACAACCTTATAACTTTGAGTCACAGATGTATGATTCACAATTTACTTGTATTTTCTGGTCCATGACCACGTTCTTCATCTGAGCATTTTCATTTAAAATATAGTCATACTTGTTTGTTTCATAATGTGCATTCTTTTGGAGAGATGCCACATATTGGAACAAAACATGCTTATTTCTTTGTTATAAAATTTATAAAAATAAAATTTAAAAGAAAACGCTACATGCTGCATTTATAGTTTTGTTCATTATAAATGACCAGTGGTCAGTGGTTAATAGCAGCTCTATTCGTTATTATGCTGATGACACAGGTATTTATTCAGCAGTGCCCTCTGTTGACAAGGCTAGATTGAAGATATTTTATTGGCAATTCAAAAGCCTTAATTATTCTTAAGCATTTATCAAATCCAGATAAGACTAGTGACATGATCTTTACCAGATCCCAAATGAAAATCATCAAATTTTTACTATTAGGACAATAACTTGNTTCAGGGAGAGCCATGGCCAAAATAACAACCAAAAACAGACAAGAAATAAGACCACAATCCTAAATAACCTTCCCACAAACATAAATTGCAATCATAAACCTACCAGCCTTTTACAACTGCAAACGCCCTCAGCTAATATTTATTTAGTTGTGATAGGAGAACTTAAGAAAAGCTAGTGAACAGTTTGAGCAGCAAACCTCTGCAACTGAGACTGATTAGTGAGCATGCTACTGTCGCTAGCTAGCCGAATCAAACAAATTTCTCAATAATATCCAGTAAATATCATGTGAACTGAGGTAATACTTACTGCAGCTAATAAGAGTAGATGCCACACAGCTATCTGAGGTTGAATGTAGCAGATAGAGGAAGTGTGAGACCTTTGACCCCCAAAGAGCCACAGCGTGATAAGATAGTTACCTAACAATCCACAGACAACTCGGCTGTCGCAACTAAGTTGTCAGCTAGAAATACAGCGTTTCCTGCCCGAGGACGCGTTCAATAAGCATTAAGATTACACTAACACCAGCTGAAATATAGTATCTATGTGTCAAATCAGAGTGTGTTCCGGTCTTTCACGTCTTTAATGCGACACAATTAAATCTGCCTAAAAGTCGTCTAACCTTCTAAAGGCTTTTAAACCAATGCGGAAGAAAGAGGGCGGAATCATCTTGCTTTGTCTGTAAAACATGTCTCCGTGAAAAACAACCTGCTGGGTCCAAGTGCCCAAGGAGTTACTGCAGATATACTTTTTGACATTGTGTCCAATAAACATTCATCTTAAGCTCATCTCCCAAACTTTTATTGAGAAAGTTTCAGTTTTTGTGTTGAGGCTGAGACTATTACTCACACTGCGACGGCACACTGTGTCATTAATGGGTTTTCCATCTCTCTTGCCAAATAAATTTTTTTTTTCACTTTCACTTGTCATTTGCCTATGCAGGCAACTGCCATGCAGAGGTACATAAGAAATTATATACAGTATATGCTTTTTTTAAATGTAAAATTTAATTTTTTTAAATTGTTGATAAAGCTCAAGAGATAATTGCAATTTAAATGACATAACACTTCCTAAATCATACATCTATCCATCCATTACCTATACACCGCTTAATCCTCACTAGGGATCCTCACTATCCCAGCCGACTTAGGGCGAAGGCAGGGGACACTGTGGACAGGTCGCCAGTCCATCGCAGGGCCACATTTAGAGACAACCTAGCACACTTACATTCACACCTATGGAATCACCAATTAACCTCAACATGTTATTGGACCGTGTGGGAGGAAGCCGGAGAACCCGGAGAGAACGCACGGTGCACGGGGAGAACATGCAAACTCCACACAGAAAGATCCCGGTGCCCCCACCAGGACGCGAACCGGCAACAGTTGTGAGGCAACAGTACTAACCAACTGCGCCACCTTGCAGCCCCTAAATCATACATACATACACATAAAAACATCTATGAACACATATTTTAACTACCTATTTAAAAAAGTATGCATTGTTTCTGTTTATGCACTTTTAAGTGACAGTAATATAAAATCCATGATTTTAGTCAACATAGTCTGGATGGTCAGAATTACTTGGTCATATAATATTAAATGGGGGCTGGTTGCATGGTTAAAATATATCTGTGTGGGATCAACAGCCGTAGAGTGATGCTACTCAAAAACAACTGTCAGAAAAATGTATTTGTCTATGAGTATGTGCATATCCCTCGAATGGGATTCACTTTGGGTTGTATGGGATTAGAGAGGTGAGCAGACTTTAGTCTGCGGTGGCCAATGCAGGCACTCTTTGGGTCTTTCCAACTCTGTGTTGCAAAGCTTTGCAGATTCTGATATAAAGCCTTAGAAGAACAATTCTGCTTCACTCTACAGAACTATTTGTTAAACCTTGAAAATTATGAATCTACAGTTAACATTTTTGTCATATAAATTAAAAGCAGCTTGCCATTCATCCTGTTAGTGTATACAACTTACCATTCTCACATTTCCACCAAATCTAAACTGATCAGTACAGAAAAATGGGTGTATGTACTCAAAATAATAGACAGATCGTAAAATCTATAAACCTATGGACATGTTAATCTATCATACTTTGCACCAAATCATGGTGATGACTAGACCACTATATTTGATGTAGCGTTTCCCTATTCCACCACCTTCTGTTGTCCTCAGTAACTGTGATGCTATTAAAATGCTTAGAGGAAAAAACAGGAATAAAACTGTATGTAAGTAGGCCAATCTTAATTTATTGTGTTAAACAGATGTTTTTTTTAAAAAAGAGAAAAAAGAAATTAC